GTGGGTTTCCTCCAGGTGCTCTGACATGTTCTCCCTGTGTCAGCGTGGGTTTCCGCCAGGTGCTCTGACATGTTCTCCCTGTGTCAGCGTGGGTTTCCGCCAGGTGCTCTGACATGTTCTCCCTGTGTCAGCGTGGGTTTCTCTCTGTATGAAGTGTGATGAAGTCCAACAACACTGATTCATTGGTCCAGGTCATGTGACATCATTAGTAGGGAGTGATAACCACCTGAACATAAACATCTGGTAAATATAAAGAAACATTTTATGGTTCCACAAGTTGATCTTCAGATCTCTAGATATGGATTTTGGGGTGCTGAAGCCTGAACAGAGATGCATCACCTCCTCTGAGTTCAGACAGAAGAAGACAACACACAACAGTTTTATTCTTCTCCAGAGGCAGCTGTGATTTTAGTTTCAGTCTGTCCATGTCCTGAGTGACTTTCTGACAAAGCCCTCTGTCTGAGTGTCAGTGTAATGGTCATGTGTTTGTAGGTTAAACAGTGTGTGTTGACTGAGCCAGCTGCTGGTTAAACAGTAACACTGGTTTCATGTGTTCACACACACCGACACCTTACAGTGCAGAGGTGTTATAAGCTGCAGTAATGAAAGTGACACTCTGCTCTCATGTTTGCTTTGTGAGAGGAGACGCTCAGACTTTCAGAGATTCAGAAGAATAAATTGTTCCTGAGAAATCTGTGAACCTAATAAAGATGCTGTGATTTGAAAACTAAGCTCTTCTATCACATGAAAACAGCCGTGTGTCTCTGTGCAATAAAGCCTGGGTGGGCAGAAATCTGGAAAAGGCTCCTGCAGCTCCTCCCTCTCTGTCCTAAGCCCCTCCCACCAGACGACCAAGGGTATATGCACGCACCTCACACAGTACATTGATTTATTTCATCTCTTTCTTTGTAGAGTTGCTCACAGTTAATTCACTCAGCCCCTCCTCACTGTGTCTAACCTGTGTAACAGCAGCAACAGAAAGTTTGCTGATCCAGCGGGGAGTCGGGCTGTCTGGTCCTCAGAGCTGGGGTTTGTACTGGCTGGATTCAGGTTGCTGCAGCTGCTGACTAGGGGTCAGTTTCTGGTGCTGCTGTCTTCTCTCCTCCCAGCAAGGTGGTCTGTAGCAGCAGGAGGTGAGGCGGTGGACACGAACTTGAAGCCACAGCTGTGTGGCTCCAGTTAGCAGAAGGCTAAACTATCAGCAACACGTTGTCTCCATCTCTGAAACACTTCACTGATACTGACACGTGTTTTATTTAGTTTATTGTCAGACTCTGTTTGATCAGGACAAAGTCTCCTGAAAACCAGATGAGGAGCAGAAGTCTAGTTTTCTCTGTCAGCTTGAATTACAATATGCTCAGTGGTTATTATGGGATCTTTGCCAGATGATACCAAAATGAATCTGCCTACAAGCTTTAAACCTCTTGTTAAATGAATCCATCATAACAGCTGATTTTGTTAAGTATTGATCAAAGTGGTTGATTTAGTTCAGCTCCTCCTCTGAATGTTCAACCAACACACTGAAGGTTTAAATAAAAACAGAAACACAGAGTTTAAATCAGTGATTTCAATCCAGAAGCTTCTTTTTTTTTTACACATTTATTTGCATATGAAAATAAAAATTTGCAGAATATGTGAAGCTCCTGATCTGTTTAACTTTGGTTTATGAAGCAGAGATCAGCAGTCTGATGTCAGTCAGTTGCTGAACAATGTGAAGAGTCATGGGTTCTTTGGTTTAATCCTCCACTTCCTGTGTTTTCTGTTGAAGCTTTGTCTTCAGATTAGTGAGATCATTTTCGCCTCATTAATCTGTTACTGCTGATAAAGAGGAATTCCCCATCTGCTCCTGCAGAGTCTCTCTTTATTCCTGCAGACGTCCTGCAGAGCTGCTGTTTCATATGTGAAACCATGTTACTGTGCTTTGACTTTAAACTGTGTGAAACACTTTGAGCTGTAGTAACTGTGAGTTTATCGACCTCTCCCATATATCTCATATAAAGGCACCCTGTCACGGACAGAGTGATATTATGGTATTAAATCAAATACAGTAGAAACTGTTTGTTTCATCTTTCTTTCTAGAATAATAACAAGAATATTGTTAGTTGTTGAACTGAGGAGCAGATTTTATTAACACCTTGATTATTTGTGAGGGACCTTTTCCTTGTCATGTGAGTGACTGATTGTGTATTGATGCCTTCCTTCCTTCCTTCCTTCCTCTCGTCAGGTGTTGTCTATAGAGAAAGCAGAGAGCACCAGTTTGCTGCCGAACCCCGTCATAGTGAGCATTCGGACCAAAAAGGCCTTCCAGCTGATCGAGCTGCAGGACCGAGACGAGCTGGTGGAGAGCCTGAACTCCAGACTGCGAGCGCTGCAGTGGAAACAGTCCATGTTTCGCAGCAGGAAGGACGGCAAGAGGAGCGTGGTACGTGTGACCTCAGAGCGCTGGGACATTTCATTCATTTAGGTTTTAGATATTTTGAGGCACAGATGAACGTGTGGAGTCAGACTGAGAGAGACATGCAACCAACCCACTGCTGGACTCACACTGGGTTGTGAACGTTAACACTGTGGCTGCAGAGCTGCTGAGATTTGTCCATCTAAATGGGGGGTGGGGTCATTCAAAGGTGTATATAAACATATGATGCAACAACAGATTCTCCTACCATCAAAATGTAAAGCTGGTCAGTGACTAAAAGAGAAGCATGTCTAACTGCTGCTGGTCGAGTCTGAACTTCTCTCACTCCTGCTGCAGAGTGGCGCGCAGCACAGGACGGCTGACATCGTTAGTTTCAGACCAACACAGTCGTCATTTTCACCGCCAGCGCCCACGTTGTGTCAGGACCAAATGTACCTGCTCTCATCTGTGTGCTGACAGGCCTGTAGGTTTAAAGTGTCGTGCCACTGCGCAGAAGGAAGTGTGTATCTACTGTTAGCTCACCTAGCACCACTGAGCTAGCCAACGTTACAGCTCAGCTGAAGAGGACGCCATTAATGTTTACAAACTGCAGCAACAAGGTCTGTGGATTATCTTGAGTAACCAGTTCATGATTTCTGTACAGAGACACTGATGTTGAGTTTTGAGCTCCACAAGCTGAGTGTCATCTAGTTGTGTTATACTGGAGAGAAGTCAGACATCTCTACTGCCCATATCTCCAACACTCTGCAGTTCACACCTAAACTATGTACACTGATAAACAGCTCTACAGGGAAGAGGGGGAACATGTATGTTTGATTTTAGGGTGGACTGTCCCTTTAAAATAAAGTTGAACTGCTGCGTTTTGACACCTAGAAAAACAGCAGACTGATGATGTTTGGTCTCATATTTTGTTCAGACCTCCCCGACACCATACTACACCTTCTACTACGACAGCAGCTACTCTGATGAAGAGGAGAAAGAGGAACAGGCTCTGCGTAACACCGTCAACAGCGAGGCTCTGATGACGGCCTTCCACCAGAACCAACCAGGAACCAATGGCAACAAGGTGGAGTCAGAGTCTGAGTCTGTCTCAGCGCATACGAGTCAAACTCAATTTGTTTATAAGAGAGAGACAGAGTTTGCACACACAAGCTGCAGTCAGATCTCAGCACACTCAACGAGTCAACACCTTAATGTCTGAATCTGTGTGTGTGTGTGTGTGTACGTGTTCAGAGCATGGAGCAGGTGAAGGAGCGGCTGTGGGAGAATCACTTCACAGAGTTCGGTCGTGGCGTCCACATGTTCCGCACAGAGAAGATCCAAAGGCTTGTTGCCATGGGGATCCCAGAGTCACTGCGAGGGGAGCTGTGGATGATGTTTTCAGGTAAGAGAGAGATACAGAAGGCAACAGTATGGGAATTCTGAAGAAGGCGAAACATACAGCACACCCTCCTCCTAAAGCTCCTCCCCTCTCTGTCCTAAGCCCCTCCCACCAGACGACCACAGGCATACGCACACACTCAATGCAGAAACACGATGTTTCCATGCACTGATTTATTTGTCTTATTTTATTGTAGCGCTCTCTCTGTTTATCAGACCACAGATGAGACTAGAATTAACCGTTAGCCACCGCACGGTCCCTCCACCTTGCTCCCCGCCGCTGTGGACTGCTTTGCTGGGAGGAGAGCAGGCAGCAGTTGTAATGTCTTGAATTCATCTGGGTGTCACAGTGGGCTGGTATCCAGCAGCAGCATTAGGTTTAACCTGTGTAACAGCAGCTACAGAAAGTTTGCTGATCCAGCGAGGGCTGTCTGATCCTCAGGTGGGGTTTGAGCTGACTGAAATCAGGTTGCTGCAGCTGCTGACTGTCGGTCTGTCTCTGGAGCTGCTGTTTGCTCTCCTCCTGCAGAGGTGGTCTGGTTGGGCAGGGTGGGGTGTGACGCTGAGGCACACAGTGATTTGAGGCTCTTGTTAGCAGAAGGCTAAACTGTTAGCATCATGTTGTCTCCATGTCTGAAACTCTTCACTGATACTGACACGTGTTTTATTTAGTTTATTGTCAGACTCTCTTTCAGACTCTGTTTGATCAGTCCGTCTCTTTGTTGGGTTGCTCTGCGGTGGAGACAGTTGTTGGCAATGCTGGAACAGCAACTTTCTCTGCAGGATTGAATCTGCCATTGAATCAGGTTTTCACTGAAGGGACGTGCACGCATTTGTAGAACAGCCAATAGAAACGCCCTCTCTCTGAAATGACCTGTGATTGGACAAAGTCCCCCATCATAGATTTTCTTCAGTCTGAAAACAGAACCAAGAGAAGGAGCAGAAGTCTAGTTTTCTCTCATTACAATATGCTCAAAGGTTATTATTGGATTTCAATCAATCAGTCAATCAATCAATTTTATTTATAAAGCCCAATATGACAAATCACAATTTGCCTCACAGGGCTTTACAGCATACGACATCCCTCTGTCCTTTGGAGCCTCACAGCTGATCAGGAAAAACTGTCTGTCCTAACTTATTATCACTGCTCCTCCCTGGCAGTATGTGTCCTCCTCCTCAAATGAATAAAAGACTTTATGTTTAGTCAGAAAAAATAGTGACTGACAACTTCAATAAAATAAGAAGTAGAACAATCTGAGGTCATGTCTTTGTGTCACAGAATATAGAAACAGAAAGAAGCATAAAACATATGATGAGACAGTTTTTATTGATATATGAGAAACAGTTTTATTTTACTGCCGCCTCAACACTTTCATTACAGTGTGAGTGAATCAGCTCCTCTCATGGTGAAGATATTTTGGGCATTCATCAACAAGAAAGCATGCTTCCTCTTTTTTACATTGCACACACGTGAAACTACTAAAAAATCCACAAAGTCAAAAATAAAAGTAGAAGATGAAATTTTAATGTGTCAGGAGAGTTCAAGAAGCCACAGGCTCGTTCAAACAGACCACGCTCCTTGAACGTAAAGAGAAAAACGAATAATAAAAAAATAACTAAAGTAACAGAATTAAAAAAAAAATAACAAGAAAATATTATAGCTGCTGCGCAGCGATGGTCGGGGCCGGGCAATTTTAGGCAAATTTAGGCAATTCTGATCAACAAGAGGCAGAATATGAGGACAACAAGAAAGTTGCCATTACAATGTACATTTTGCATCAGTTGAGGTTTGAACTCACAATCTCTGACACCAAGGAGCATCTTCTATCTTACTGAGCTAATTAGTCATTGACAACTCATCTGTGGCTTCACAAATTGACTAAGCCAGCCACCAGCTGACTGCAGATTTCAAACTGCTGCCATAAATTCAGTTATCAAGACAAAAATCTGAAAATACACATCTTGCATCTAGACAGCATGGAGATGTTAATTTGTTTTTTGTTTTTTTAACAATGACTGATTATCTCCATAAGTGAAAAACTGATGTGTAAAGTATTTCCATTGACAGCAATGGTTCACATGAGGACAGAATTCAAAATGCTGTCAAAAGTGTAGTTTTTGATATATAATTCTGATATTTACCAAACGTCATCAATTTTTTTCATGAACATTGAAAACTTATTTAGCAAGAATTTGCAATTATATGTTTACAGTACTGTTTACAGTCAAACATCTTGATGCACTGTAGGCTCAATTTTTGATAAATCAAAAATCTGTGAGGACAGTTTTTGTAGGACAGTCTGAAGATGCTCTGTAGCAAGTTTGGTGACAACTGAGCAAAAATTGTGGGAGGAGATAGGTTTAAGAAGTTTTACAGTTTTTAAAAAAAAAAAAGTGATGAACTTCATACTTTTAATATATAAATGTTCAAAAGTTTCTTCAGTATTGGGGCTACAGTTTGGTGAAAGTTGTGAAGTTGTAGCACATACGGACGATTTGTTGTGAATTTTCACAGTTTTGAACTTTAGACGCTTGCTGTAGTGCCACCATCAGGACTATGGACTTGTGTTTGCAGCTGAGCAAATCTGGCATGGGACTAGACCTTTGTGCAAAGTTTGGTGATTTTTCGCGCATGGGAAGCATGATTTCCTCAGAAATCAGTGGACAACAGTCCAATAACAACAAAGACTTACTGAAAACACAATGTGGAAAATATATATCTATATAGATACCAGTCAGATAATTAGACATGGTGAATTTAATGGTGATGATAATTTCTCTTCTTGCTTTGTGTGCTGAATCTTTTCTTCAGTGTCAGGATGTTTAAATGGAGGATGACCTCATTCATTCCCACATTTCACAGAATAACAACAACACTGACTGGATTTTCCCACATGTGCGCGCCGGGCTGATGATGATGATGATGATGATGATGATGATGATGTGTGTGTGTTAGTGTGTGTATGATCTGTCCCGTAACTCCTCATCCCCTGCTGGTTCTGTCAGTGAGTACGTTTACATGAAACCCTGATATTCCTCCATTATCCAGAATAGTCAGAATTTAATTCAGGTCATAAAAACAGCATATTTCATTGGGATATTCTGAATTAGGCCTTCTTCCAGATTTAGTATTTTCCAGTAAAGACCAACACTATTCTGGATTGAGGAGCATTTTGTGTACGTACAGCATGTTCAGAATAACGTAATGTCTTTTTGTTATGGTGTGACAGAGGACGAGATCAGAGGCTTCTCTTTGGAGAACACTCTGCTGCTGCTTGTTAACAGTTTCTCTGCCTCTGGTTTGTGCAGACGCGTCTTCAGAGCTGGAGTCCCACCAGGGCTATTACACCAGCATGGTGCAGAAGTCGATGGGCCACAGCAGCCTGGCTACTGAGGAGATTGAGCGGGATCTTCACCGCTCTCTGCCCGACCATCCTGCCTTTCAAAACCCTACCGGCATTGCCGCACTCAGACGTGTCCTCACTGCCTACGCTCACCGCAACCCCAGGATCGGATACTGTCAGGTAGGAATCCAAAGATCCGAGCTTTATGGTGATGGATTGGTGCAGAAAAAATGATGTCACTGCACAGTAATTACTGAAATATGACTTTGTGGTGGCTGCTGTAACTGCAGTAGTAGCAGCAGCAGCATTTGTACTAACAAGGCGTTGGTTTGGTTTCAGAAGTGGGTGGAGCACATGAAGCCAACCAAACAAAAACTAAGAATATTTGTGTGTTATTTCCTGGACTTCTTCATCAATCTAGAAAATATATTATTTGGAAATTGTTTATCATAATTTCTAAAATACTTTTGTAAAATCATCGTAAAATTAAAAATAATGAAAAAAGGTCAAAGTATAGTATGTCCTCAAAAATCATGATAAAACATCATAGTATAGCATGTCGTCAAAAATCACGGGAAAAAAGTCATAGTA